GCTTGCCCTTGCGGACACCCCCAACAAGATATTGACCATATATTTTTTAAATGCCCTTTAAACAAAGACGCGTCCGATCGACTACAGATTGACTTGTTCCATAACGGGTTTAGTCCCCCCTTCAGTGTAACTGAAGTCGCCTTCTCAAGTAATGTACGTGCCATGCACGCACTCCTGGCTTTCGTTGCAGAAGCGCAAATTCCTATTTAAACATAACATTAGTACACATCTATTCCTGACAATACCACCACTCTTTAATCCTAAGTTCCCAGTGATCACGATTCAGAGTCTTATACGTGTCGCTAGTATTGCTCCGGAGCGTGTGCTCCGTATCTGGTAGTTTTTAAAGACCCTAGATCTGCGCAGTTGTCTGGGGTACTTTGTTACTCCAGTTGGAGAAATCAACCATTTAACCGTTTAACGGTGAACATACCAAGAAAATCACTATTCAAGCTTAGAATGGCGTATGGACTATCTTGAGTCGGTCCTTTGAGCCACATATGCACCAAACCAAACCAAACACGCAACATTGAAAGAAAGAGAAGAAACGTGCAAGACCAACAATTGTTGTTTTAGTGATGCGCGGGATCACTATCAATTTGGGCATAATGCGACATAGATCCATACGATGGTAACGACGACGACGACGACGACGACGACAACGACAACGACAACGACGGCGACGACGACGACGACGACGACGACGACGACGATAATGATGATAATGATGATGGTGATGAAACACTTCTGATGATAAAGCGATACTCGAGTTATCTGTCTGTCGCAGCAAATAATTGACAAATCAGCCAGAGCAAGATCGTGGCAATGACGTCGGTGTTCACTTCGTCGACACGTGCGTAAAAAAATTGATATCGAGGAATGACGGCCTATCTACTACGAAAACACATGACAAGTGTGTAAGCTATTGCAGGTGATGGCGGGAAATACATTGGGGGCGCACGTTTTTGTTGACAGAACGTAAAATTAATATTAGCTGACTCGCGTAATACCGTATGTATAATAACGTCTGCACAAAATTTTAAGTGCATCTCAATGTGTCCAAAGAGACACATTGACCAAGAAAAAGAATGCGTTTTATTTTATGTGCACGAGCATTTCTACTGAAAAGAACTAATTAATTTTATTAACACAAGTGTTTGAACAAAGCATACAAGAATCCGAATATGTCACACGTACAAAGAATTTTGTAAGATTGCTCCGTTTGCAAATTAACACAGTTTAACGACAATTAACTGAGCTTTTCTCCCATCCAACTGAGATAAAATGTATGAGAATGGTACAAATGACACAAGAGAGTTGAACACGACAGATATTACGGATTCTATTTTGTACACTATACTGATGAGCGATCTTTCGACAAGCATGGTGAATGCGATTTACAACGACAACGCGTCCTCTACAACGTACGTAGAAGTGTCACAGGCAAACGAGAGTAATCAGCGGTTGTGGAATCTCTCTAAGACCGCTGTAACGTCACTGTCCGAATCTACAGCAATAACACTTAATACTTCGAGAAGTACAACAATGTACACACCAACAGTAACAACAGAGTCCTTTGATGAATTTGGTCCGCCAGAAGGAGTAGAATATATTTTTGTGCCACTTGGTGTGGTGGTCTCGGTTATTATTCTATCTGCTGTGGTATGGGTAGTGATATCACTTTTGTCTGCATCTTGTGACGTTTTTCCTCCTGGCCTTGTTTTTGTTTTTTTGAATGCAGCTCTACAAAAACAGCGAAAAATACACAGCACATGTGACACATTATTTTAAACACAAGGATCTGTTTTGATATTTAGTTTCTAACACTTTCATTGTATTTTATAAAAGTATATGTCTATAGAAAATAATATCATGTTTATTTGTACTCGTATGTGTGTATAAGGCTCATTAGATCGTACAATATTTCAATAAACGTTTTTGTTTTTAGCAAAGCTTTGTATCCTGCTTTTTTGTTAGGCATAAATAAGGATTTCTTGATTTTTCTTAAATGTTTAATTGTCTTTGAAGGTACTAATTATATCCAGAAAGCGCAAATTGGAGCGACTGAGGCACAGACTTATGCCGATGTACAACTTCGATCCTGGAGAAGAGGAGCAAGATGATTGGGAGACCGAATTGTTGGACGAGTGCTATAGTACTCATCAGAGACGAGTGTGTAAGATTGTTTTCACTTGTAACGTGTGCAAGTGCTTTGAAAATAAGAGATATATTAATTTTACAGCAAGGATATCAATCGATGGATACTGAAGAAAATGCAGAGCTATTTGATGGTCATTAACAGCGCGTTTTTGCATGGCATTTGTAAATCAGTTTCACATTGTGCTATTATCATGGATTAAATATTTTTATTTATTGTAATTTTTCTCACATATACACTTGATACATCCAAAGTTTTCCAGAATAATGAACTTTGTGACTTTAGATGAAAACTTATTCTTTCTTACACAAATTCTCTCTTAAGAAAGACCAAAGTTGAATAAAAATAGTACTACAAACTAATTTATAATAATTTATTTTTGTTAGTTTATAATAATTTATTATATATTTATTCATAAATTTCAATATCTCTTCCAACTATTGCTTAAAGTCTAATACCAATTGGATTTTATTTCAACTCAATTTTTGTCAACTTGAGATTTAGTGTTTGCAATTTTTTAAGTAATTAATCACAATATGATGTGTGTGTGTGTGTGTGTATATATATGAGATGTATTCCTAACTTCTCTATACAATCAACTTTTCTTTGCAATAGAAAGTGTAATCGAGAAATATGAAGTATCTTTTATAATTTCATTATGTAAATTATACTGATGTTTTTTTGTATCTCTTTTACTTTGTTTTTTTTTTTTTACGCCTAATAGCTTTTTGCATGGAGAAACGCTAAAAATAAATTTTCCTATCCTATACACAAAAATCGATTTGCCGTCGTGCTGTTATACTTCACACATTCACAAAAATTAATAAAAACTTCCAAGAAAACAGAATTAATAAGAGTACTTTGAGTTTATTTACTTTAATACAAAGATGATATTCACACATATGCTTGCCTCAAAATCGACATTAATGTACACATTAAGAGTAATAAGAGAAGTGTATTAGTGTTATTAATTTAAAAAAAAGAAAATATTTTTTGCGTATATTACACATAACAGAAACTTGTTTTCACGTTTATCATTTTCTGTCACTTGTACAGTATACGGTACGATGTTTTTTGGCTTTATGAATCGCAACGTGTATGTAGGAGAAAAGGAGGTAGCAAATATGTGATAATAATACTTTATACTGTTTTTTTTTTTAAAAAAAAAAAAGTATCAAACTTCATATCTGATCTAAATTAAGAAAAAGTTTTGAGATCTTTATTAAGATACGTTAAAATGCAGTCTTTACTGTGAATAGTTTTTACTGTTAAAAAGTTACACTTAGCACGCGTGATAATTTTTTATTAGTTATTAAAAATATCGACACATAAACAAATATCTACTAAGATTTTTAACACAAACTTTTTTTCTCAAGTTCCTTGAATTTATCAGCATGTGGCAATGTACACCATGAACTAGAATTCCTTAATGAAACTCAAATAATAACACGGTGCCGACAATGTCCATTGCTTCGTCATTTGCTCCATTTCCAAAAATCACACCAGAAAGAAACATCAAAAACTGAATATAAAACGATTCGATTAAATCGATTTTGTTTAAACACTATCGAAAGATAAAATTAGCTGTGTTAGTTTCATCCTCTCCTATTACAACTTTAGATAATTCAATTTTCTTCCTCTTCCTCATCCTCTTCTTGTTCGTCTTCGTCTTCATTATTGATCTCGGGTTTCTCTTCTGCTTTTTTCGCCTGTCTACCTCGGCGTGGCGAACCTTTTGGTGCTCCTTGCTGTAAGTGATAATTTTCTCACATAATGTGACGCAGAAGTAAATTACGTTTAACTTACAATATTGTGTAAACTCTACATAAACTCTGAACTATGGTAAAATCTACAAAACAGTAACATATTTACAAATATCTAAGTGCTGTGTGTACCTTTTTCTTGTGAGATCCTTTAGGTCGACCTCTTCCTTTTTTAACAGGACCAGGTGGAGCATCATCCTCATTATCAGATTTGCGTACTGCGTTATTTTTTTCTGCTGCCGGTCTGCCTCTTTTTTTAGGTTCTTTTACGGCATTCTTGTCTGATTTAGCTGGCCTACCTCTCTTTTTCTTTTGTTCTTCTACGACAGGCGAATTGTCGTCCGACATATTTATTGTCCTGTTTCACTGGAAAACTAGAACAACGTCAATTCTCTCTTAATGTTTTCTTTTTTTCAGATTGTATCATCTCCAACAAGATAAACTACAAAGAAGAGCAGCCAATAAGAAAAATCCAAAGTTATCTGTGTATACTTGTGGATATAATGTGCAGCTAATTTGCGAAGACATCATATTACTTATATATAAATGTTCTCTATTAAAATACTAAAAAGTACATCCCTTACGCATAGATAATTCTGCAACTTTCAAAAACTAATGCCATATATCTAATTAAGAAAAATATAATAATTGTAAAAAAGATTTGTAGCTATATAGAAATATACATATATGTACATATACTTGTATATATACAAATACGCGTATCTTTTCAAAGATATTAATTCATTAATCTTTACATAACCACTGATTAAAAAAAAACAAAAAGGCTGCCGCGTTATTAGTGCAACGAGATTAGACGATTCTCGAATGTTCGAGTAAGATTATCGATCTTTCAATATTTTTCTAAGTCGCGCGCTTTGAAGAACATCGGAAATTGCATTTGTTTCAGCAAAGTAGAAATGCGCAAACGCGCTGCGAAAATCAGTACTATATTAATTACGCGCATTTACGAGAAGATAACGCAGTGCGTACGCATATAATTGAGCCATAAAACGGTCTCTGTCGACGCAATATAATCCACGGCAAATCGAAATTTAATTTATTCCTATTCCCGCAATAACTTCGTTGCGATTCCAAGAACTCGATCGTGAGAATCTGTTTTTTTCCGTCGGGAAATCTATCGGAATCGAATTGACGGCGACGCGAATACCCGTTGTTAAAGTTACGATCGTGCAAAAGCGACAACGGTTCGATGCCTCTCCAAAAGTTCCGCGCCCGCCATTTTCAAAATTTGCCAACGGTCGCTCCGAATTCCCAATTAGACGACTCGACGATCGTATGTACCGAAAACGCCGGTCTCCCACGACGAAATCATGCTCATTGCAAATGGCAATTTTTTCTCGAATTTTTCACGCACGCGGAATTGTCGGTTCGCGCGGTAACGCCGAGAAATCCGATGACAGGACTCGCACGTCGATCGTCGGCCGTCGGTGACGCCATGGGAGAGAGGCGCGAAACATGGCGTCGCGAGTTGTGTGACTACGCGGCGTCTCTCCGTATCAGAGTACAGCGCGTCGGACTTGCGACACCGATATCTCTGCAAGTAACGGCGCAGCGGAATCGTGTGACGGACGGAAAAATTCGTTGTGAACCCGACGAATTTTCCATCGCATTTTTACATCGCGGTCACGCGTGCTTACCGTCCAAATAAATTTATATCCGCATACGTATGATAAATTAATTGGGCGCGTAAAATACACGACGCGAGATACGTAAACGGCGGCGGCACCAAATACGCACTCCACTCACCTCACACGGCACGAAGGGAATTATTGCGTACGATACACTCTTATTCCGTGAGACAAAGGGTGATATCGCGTCCCTTTATGTCGCCGGTCGGTTGATTGGTCGGTCGGTTGGTTGGTTGCGCGCGTCGTGGCGTGGCGGTGGTCGGTGTGTATCTCGCGGTCACGTCGCGTCGCGTCGCGTCGCCGCGTCGTATCGTATCGTATCCGCGGGATGCTGGGGGGGCTCTGTTGCAAACGCACTCTCGCCGCTCGCGCGCACTTGCTTGTTTGCTTGCTCGCTCGCGTATTGTGGTGTGCACTCGGCACGCTTCTTCGACTCTCGCTCGCTTCACCGCCGTAACGCGTATATTAGTAGGCGCCGCTATGCTCCGCGCACTTTCCACAAACAAACACATACACGCACGCGTACACTCGCATGCAAACGCCCCGCCGACGCAGCCTCCACTTTTCTCGCGCGCTTACCTCGGTGGCTGACTGGTTGACTGGCTGGCTGGCCGACTGGCTGGCTAGCTAGCTAGCTAGCTGGCTGGCTGGTTGGCTGGTTGGCTGGCTAGCTGGCTGCCTGGAGGACTGGCTGGCTAGCTAGCTAGCTGGCTGGCTGGCTGGCTGGCTGGCTGGCTGGTTTGCTGGCTCGCGATCGCTTGTCATTTGGTGATATTTCGGTTTCGAGTAGGAAGAAGGGTTGTTCTTGCGCGTCGCGCGCGAAGCGAAATGAATGGAGAGGAGGCGGAATTGGCGGAATCGCGCTCGTTTAATCGAGTTGTTTTTCGACGCACGAAATTTTATGATTTTGCATACACGCTCGCACGCACACATAAAGCACATATATGTATTAGCTGACTTACCAGAAAAAACAGTGTATACACTGTACAGCAACTGACGACTGCTGACGACGATATACTACTGCGATACACCACAGTGATATACTGTGGCGCGATTCAAGTCGCGGGTTGCTGCGAGCCGGCTCGGGAACCTCTCCCCCACTGCCTGCGAAGCCGACGGCGACGAAGCGCGTTAACGAATTCCCGCCAAAAGATCGCCTCGCTGTACGTATCGCGCTATAGGTCGAAAAATTATCGTTCTGCTCGTGGGGGTCGTGCCGGATCGCGGCGAATCTCAGATGTGGCGGTACAAGATGCTTCTCGCCTCTTTTTTTTCTCTCTTTCTCACTGCAAGGAACAAGCGAACAGGATCTTTCGCAGGAATTTTATATGTGGAATTGGCGCGATCGGCGGCGATTCGACGCGCGCGCGCGCGCGAGCCGTTGCAATGAATGTAATAGTGAGTGGTTGTTACATATTATGTATATCTTTCTCGTATACTCTGTTGCAGTTTACATTCCAGAAAGGCCACGTTGATGTATCGATGGGTATCGCGCAATTTTGATAATTGATATAAGCGACATAAATTTTACTGTATTTGCTGTTTGTTAATAATGTCAATAAATGTACATAGAAGGGAATTAAACCTGTTTATATTAGCAGATATTATTAATATAGACTCTCATGTGTGTGTGTGTCGCTTTTATCAACGTGCATATGCACCTATCTATGTGTAAGCGATTATATACAAAAAAAGTCGTACATGCACGATGAATGTCGAATAGTTACGAGCCGGTTGTAACCGTCGGAGGACGTTGACCCTCCCAATCTCTAATTTACATGTGTTTTCAACAACTTGAATTTCGTCGATACGGTTGAAACAATTTTGACGAATCAATACAAAAGTCGCAGTTATTCGACTAGTGTCACGCATCAGAATTCATAACAAATTAAAAAAATTTTACGCATAAAAGAATTCTGTTACTTGAATGTGTACACATTAGTACATAGCATTATTTGTTTGAAAAGCGATATTGTTTTATTTTCTCTTTATATTCATTAGTTACAGTTTAATGAACAATTATCGATTCAGCTGGAAGTTCGTATTAAACATTTATTCATACTTAAATTTATGTTTTTACGCGGTAGGAAAAACGATATTCGAATATATTAATTTGTTCTTTCTGCAAGATTCTTGCGCTTTTGTATCTTTTTGTGAAAAAAGGAGTAAAGAATATGATATGAAGATTCAAAAAACATACTGCGCAAATACGAAGTGTATATATTTCATACTACATAAAATCAAGCAGATGGGTACATATAAGGAACATATGATACAAAAACGAAGAGGTATGGAGACCAAATAGATATGGCGTTTGATTGCAATGATAAACGCACATTGAAACGAAAACGATAGCACCGTTAAGGAAAATGATATAAACCGATTAAACTAGAAGAAACAAATTCTAAAGTGAAGCGCAATATGGATTTCTCGGTACATTAATTCTCATCTTTATACCTAGTATGATATAAATACGTGTGTGTGTGTGTGTACATATATGTATATACATACATATGTATTCTGTTTACACATACAGATGCAGGTACCGGTGCTGCATCGCAGGATGAAGACGGGTTACGCGCACTTTCTACACTTGTTTACATGTTTTATTTCTTTTTGTCCTGACAAAGCCAGTACATATGCCGCGTCTGGTTTTCTTTCGGAAAATACGTAGTACATTATGCAAATTAATATATCATGGATTAAATATCTTTATTCTTCGGTATGACTTCGGTATGACTAAAACACAAATTCAATTAAAAATACAGATTGTTTCTTTAAAGATTAATTAACGTCTTCCGCTGTTAATTATTCCTGGTTTGGTTTGGTGCAGTTGTGGCTCAGTGGATCATTTAAGCTAGTCCATACGCCATTCCGTGTCTCATAGTTTCTAGTTAGGAACGCAGCTCCAATAATAATTGTGTAGTGTTGTTAATTATTCCTCTTGAAAACATTCGAAAGCATTCGAAGACGAGCAAATCGATTAGAGGGCAGGCAAACTTGTAGTAGTTTACACATCAAGTTGCACAGATGGCGGTTATGCGCACCATGTGCACCAACATAATCTCGAAAAATTCCCTGGCAAACTCTTTTTTGTAGAAAGTTTTTACGCTTTTTGCACTTTAGAAATTTTTTATTTCAAAATAAAATAGGTATATATAATATAATTAAGCGTGAGAGAAGATAAAGAATATAGCCGAAAACAAAAAAATACATAAAGAGTCCAGGTAAATGTATCTCCGATATGTTGATCATGTCGATCGCGTTCAAGCGTGGCGGCCATTTTCCGACACTGTTTGTTGCATTTAGTTTTACGCCAAAGTAATATCGCTTGATATACGTATTTATTATTAATTTTTATTTCCCTCAAACGTGTCGCGATTGTCGCAAAATTGCGTATGGTGATAATGTTTCGTCGTGTATGATCAAAAATTCGGGAACAAACTGTTGTATAGTGATACGCGGCGGCGGTAGACGTGCGCGTAGCGCGACCGCAGCCAACTTCAGAGGCGTGTCATGTTTGCGGTCAACGCGTTGCTTCGTAATCGGAGTCGTCGAGTTTTGTTATCGAAAATCTATAAAAGATGCTGTCGTTAGGTCCGAAAAAAGACGGCGGACCCAATGCTAAGTTCTTCGAGTCACCGGAGGTTCTCACCCAGCTTGATGGCGTTAAACAGTGGCTTCTAAAGAATTGCAAGAAGGTACGTTCGTTTATACGAACATGGACCCGATGTCGAATGACTCGGAATTTCTGCGTGCGCGTGACTTTCGATATCTTTCGCTTTTAGCTTACGTGTTCGCAATTTTTTCGACAATCAGCGTCAACAAATCTGTCTTATAAGAATTTCGCGAAAATTTTTACGACGCATGATCACAGTCGGATTATTGGCCGCGAGGCAGAAATCAGCCCAATAACTCTCCGCAATTACTCCTTGTTTTAATTTACGTCATAATGTGAAATTAAATGTTCGTTCATTAACGCATATTACTCGCTATTTACGGACTGTATTGTGTAACAATTGCAAAAACGGGGAATGAGTGAAGAAAAATGAAATATACAACTTAATAGAGAAAGAAAAGTTCTGCAAGGAATAGTATGAGATGTTAACCTTTTATATTTGATATTGAGTGTTTTATGTTATTCTATTATTTTTTGTAGTATGTGCAAACAGATCCTCCTACTAACAAGAGTTTAGCTACATTGGTAGTACAACTTCTGCAATTCCAAGAAGACAATCTAGGCAAAAATGTGGCAAAACCACCTATGACTAAAATTCCAGTATGTAGTTTATTATATGAATAACAAAAGTTTATTGTTATAAAAGTGTTACATATATATATATATACACATATATATTTAAAAATCAATAATGTCGATCTATAAAATTCTTATTCTTTTTCTTTATAGATGAAATGTTTCTTGGACTTTAAACCTGGTGGTGGCTTGTGTCACATTTTGGCAACTGCTTATCGCTTTAAACAAGAACAAGGATGGCGGCGATTCGATTTTCCTAGTGGAAAAGTAAATTGTTTTATATTTTATATAGAAGGAAACTTTGAATAATTTTAAAATAATTAATATATTTGCACGCTGTTTAAAGTATCATAGAACTGCTTTAACTAATAAAAACTTATTTATTGTTCACAGTCAAGTTCACGCACAGATCGTACTCTTGATATGCTAATGTCAGCTGAACGAGCTTTACAGCAGAATAGATGTATGACTGTACCAAGTGTTTTTGTGAGACCAGATGTGGATAAAGCTACAGCTACACAAGTAAAGGAAGTAGTTAGAAAACATCAAGGCAACATTGTAGAGAAGGAGGCTGATGCTACACACATTATTTATCCTCTAGTGGATCCATTGGAAGAAGAATATGCTCGTCCTTGTATGAGACGTGAGAGATCAGTACTGATTCATTGGTACTATTTTCCAGACAGCTACGACTCGTGGATGACACTAGATCTTCCCTGGGATTATCCGGAAGGAAATCTCGCAAATACAAATTCAAGGCACTTTTTGCATTTGATATATTTTCCTATTTATTAAGCAAATTTGTGTTTTATGTGAGTGTATATTAAAAAGATTTTGTGAATTTTTTTTTCAGATCAGTATACAGAGTATCAGTTACTTGGGCGTTAGACTTGGATCAGTATAACGAGTGGATGAACGAAGAAGATTACGAAGTAGACGAGAGTGGCCAAAAAAGAGTGCATAAATACAGACTCTCGGTGGAAGATTTAATGGCGCAACCTCCCCATCCACCGCCTGTAAAGAAACCCAAAAGGAAACGATCCCCCAGTCCACCACCAAAACTCGGCAAGCGTAAGAGGTAAACAGAAACTCTCTTGATTACAAAATTCAAATTTTATTTTATTTTATTTTATTTTTTTAATAAAAATAAACTAATTGGCTCTCAGAATATAAATCAAAAGTAACGGGTTTCTAAAAATCAGTCTAATTTATTTTGTTTTCGTATATTATCACTTTTAGTAGCAGAGCACCGTCGGGTATTCAGAGTGCTTCGTCTGCATCATCGGCGACGACTCCGAAGAAATCACGCGGCGGTGAAGAAGAAGAAGATCTGACACAAGGAATGGAGGATCCACCGTCCGAACCTCGCATTATCGAAGTGGTCGCTACACCCACAAATCCACCAATCACAGGTCAAGGTAACGCAACAACAGGAAATTCCACTTTAACTGCTACTGGCAGCAAAAAGCAAGACAGCGAGCTTCAACCTCTTAAATCCGGCAATTTAACAGATCTCGATGAACAATTGGAAGGTACGAGATGAATAAATCTTTCTGAATAAATAATGAAATATAATGTTTCAAGATATGTGACAATTTAATGAACTCTAAAAAAAAAAGTTCATTAACGTTTTGCAGGAGACAAAGGAAGTTCTCAGGGCGGCCAAGACAGAGAAGAGAGAGATACCAGTAAAGAGAGAGGTGAAGGCGGTAAAGGCGACGAGCCGGAAGACAACGTGACTGAGCAAACACATCATATTGTCGTTCCTAGCTACTCCGCTTGGTTCGATTACAACTCAATTCACACTATTGAGAAGAGAGCTCTGTCGGAATTTTTTAATGGCAAAAATAAGTCCAAGACACCGGAGATTTATCTCGCTTATAGGAACTTTATGATCGACACTTATCGACTGAATCCGACGGAATATATTACATCGACCGCTTGCAGACGGAATTTAGCTGGGGATGTGTGCGCGATTATGCGCGTGCACGCCTTCCTTGAACAATGGGGACTTATTAATTATCAGGTAGATGCGGAATCTAGACCGACGCCTATGGGACCTCCGCCAACATCACATTTCCATGTTTTGTCCGACACACCGTCTGGTTTGGCACCCGTTAATCCGAATCCGCCGAAGACGCCGCAGCCATCTGCCGCGAAGATGCTACTCGACTTGGAAAAGAAATCCACAAATACGACGGGTGCTCTGGGCACAGAAGAAAAGGTTTCGGCTGGAGCGATGGCAAACTTCGGTCTAAAAATCGATCAATATTCGAGAAAACCGGCGGTGCTGAAGAACAAGCAGGCAGCTGGTGCTACACGAGACTGGACAGAACAGGAGACACTTTTGTTGTTGGAAGGATTGGAACTGCACAAAGACGACTGGAACAAAGTGTGTGAACACGTAGGCTCGAGAACTCAAGACGAATGTATCTTGCACTTTTTACGATTACCCATTGAGGATCCGTATCTAGAAGAAGGTGGACCTGAAGGATTAGGACCATTAGCTTATCAACCGGTACCTTTCTCAAAAGCGGGCAATCCCGTTATGAGTACAGTTGCTTTTCTCGCATCTGTTGTGGATCCTAGAGTAGCAGCTAGCGCGGCAAAGGCTGCCATGGAAGAATTTGCCGCGATAAAGGATCAAGTGCCAGCTGCATTGTTGGATCAGCATCTGAGAAATGTACAAGCCAGCGCTAATTCGGATGGTAATTTCTTACTTTAAACTTACATTATAGTGATTTACTATACTAGCGAGAATTTTAATTGATAAATAATATGTCTGTTATTTTTTTTATTATGTTACAGGTAAATTTGATCCGGCGGCTGGACTAGCGCAATCAGGCATCGCCGGTACAGGACCACCTGAGCCACCGGATGACACCGCAACTTCTGCTGCAACAACTCCTTCCGTACCAGCAGGCGTCGCTAATTCCCCTCATTCGGCAGCGCCAACTCCTGATGGGAAGAAAGATGAGCAAGAAAAATCTAAAGATGCAATGGATGTTGAACCATCTCAAGTAGATGTCACGAAGAAAGAGGACGAATCGAAGGAAACCGAAGAAGACGCGAAGTCTACCGATCCAGAAGCTGCAGAAGCAAAAGAGAAGAAAGACAAGGTAAACTGCAATCCATAAATCAATTCACGGAAACAGTAAATTTCTGTATTTTAGTGAGTTTAAATTTGACTTGTGATTTGTGTTACAGGTCGTGAGAGATGCTCAGCTTCAATCTGCGGCTGCAGCGGCGTTGGCGGCTGCTGCCGTAAAAGCCAAGCATTTGGCAGCGGTTGAAGAACGCAAGATCAAGTCATTGGTCGCGCTCTTAGTGGAAACGCAAATGAAGAAACTGGAGATTAAACTACGACACTTTGAAGAATTAGAAACGACAATGGAACGAGAGCGTGAAGGTCTCGAGTATCAGCGGCAACAGCTCATCACTGAGCGTCAACAGTTCCACCTCGAGCAGCTAAAAGCGGCTGAGTTTAGGGCGCGACAGCAAGCTCATCAGCGGCTGGCTCAAGAGCAACAACAGCAACAGCAGCAGCAGCAGCAGCAGCAACAACAACAGCAACAAAATCAGCAGCATCCACCTTGGCAACCCCCGAACGCTCAGCAGCAACAACAACCACCGAGTCCTCAAGCTCAGCAACAACCACCACCGCACACACCACCGCAACAGACATAATTTTTTCGTGAGTTTGAATCTTGTTGATAATTGATTACACGCAATAAACGTGTAGGAGCACGCTGCTGCGATTGCGCACTTTTTGTATCGACGCATTATTTAATTTCTACATGATAATTTTCATCCTTTTCTTGTTTATCGTTCTTTAATTATGTTGTCTTCAACTTTTATACTATCACACGAACGACTTTACATATTTTAAAAATGCCATGAGATAGAAATAAATCTATAAGTGGTTTTTTTTTATTTGTCACTTTTATTTTGTTGTTCATACACATATATATTGAATCAATTTTCTTCGTATACATTGCTTATGTACATATATACGCGAAAAAAAACAATTTATGTCGAATTTTATATGCTGTATTACTGTTTTTAGTGTGTGTATATTGTAAATATTAAAAAAATAATATAGGATATACACACATTGCGAATATATATATACGACGTACATATAGTATTGTACACTATTATTAAATTTAATAATGACACTAAAATCTAATCTACAAAGCCCCGTTGTCTATCAATTCCAACACTAAATCAGTCATAAGTCGGGCGCACTCGGCGCCACCGGGTGGCGGGGCTCCCGCTGGGTTGTGTTTTTCCTCGCTAGTTTCCGCGCTGTTAGTTTCGTACAAATTTGGCGCTTCGTGACTGGCGCACGTGCTGATTGGTAATATGTCCAACGCTAATCCCAATCCGAAACGTCCGCATCTTCGCATTTCTTCGTTTAGTCTATAAGTATCAAATAAAAGTTCACTGTGTGCTAAGCAATCTTTAAGAAATATTTATTTAAAAAATTAAACAGTAAATTTTATACAAACGTGTAAGTAGCAAATTAAAACTGTAGCCATTTGATGCATACATTGAAGTTCTTACTATTTTTACTTACAATTTCCACATCACAGATGGATCTCTTGGCAGCTGGTCTCGATTCAGGACACGTAGAGAGGATATCAGATGGGAATGGTAGTGCTGGAGAAGCTGTGTCATATAAGCTCGTCTAACAATACCACTCGTGCAGCAATAGAGCAAGTTCGCAAGATCAAGAGCAAGGGAACCGACTCGCGTCAGTTGGAAGTCAACTAAATAAACGGCCTGCAGAAAAGCACAATATTAAAAAAAAAAGAAAGAAAATCAATTTGCAATAAGATATATCTCGCACTCGTGCCAGCTGATATTGTCAGTCTCGAATATATACGTGTGGGTGTGTGTGTACGTGTGTGTGTGTGGCGCGCGTGAATATAGATCATACAATGCGTAATAAATATTCCTATATTGTGATTTAAATTCGCAATTTTTTATAATTTAAAACACTGAACAATTAACATTAAATGCGAGTGGAATATATATAATTTTCTTGATATTATATATACATATATATATATGTTTTCTTAGTCTTTTTTCTTCTATATTTTTATTTTTATTTCTTAGTCTTTTTTTTCTTCTATACTATATAATTCTATATTATAAATAATCTTCTATATTATATATAATTTTATGTTATGATATTTTCTGGAAATTTCATAAACGGCGAAACTTCCTTAATCAATTGCAATTGTATATAATACAGGAATCTTTAATTGCGACCAGGTCTAGATAAGAGAGTGAACTTTGCTGAACTAGAAATCTTTTTTAATAAGAGACCATAAATGTGGAGAAAAACATTTGAATCATATATAAAGAGAATCTTATAAATTTATATAATAAAACTGTATTGAACTAATGAGTCTTTGTGTATCTCGTTATTTCGCACACAAAGTAAAGATCTATAAATTTCCCGATGATAATCTCTCACTGAACATAAAAGTTTTTATTGTAAATATGTCAAACATGTTGTGTGTGTGTGTGCGCGCGCGCGCGCGCACTTTCTTATTTACATTTTTCTTACAAAATAAGAGTTTCACCTCTGTATCTGAGCTTGATTCATCTCGAAAGAGAATATTGTTGGTCCAGCAATCGCCGTGACAGAATACAGTGAGAGATCCTTGCGCGGAGACGAGCTCGCTCATGGTACGAAAAAACACATTTTCGTTCAAGAAGTCTTGCAATTTTGTCATGATCTCCTTTCTTTTGTCATCCATATGCGAGGGAAGCGCTTCAGACACCATTCTGATAGCATTATTCGCGGCTACGCGATAATACTGCCGATACCAATCTTCATTATCTCGGCGAAATAACGTTTCTTGTATACCTTGTTCCGGATTTGTTAATTTTGCAAACTCTTCCGGTCTTCAAAAAATTAACATTTTGTATTAAAACCGGGAGATGAAGGCAAAAAAAAAAAACAAAACTATCTTACGCAACAAGATAACAGTCCTAGTTGTTTTTAAAATTTTATTATACTTTATTATTATTAGCACAACTTTATTTTGTAACAATTATTCTATCATTCAGAAAATCTAATTAATCAGTCTCAAATTATTTCTTAGCTTATCATTAATATTTAGTTACCAAACGCACCTACCTTGTCTCTTTTAGTGTTAAGCTAAGCGCGTGAAAGCCGGCTAGAGCCTTCAGCACGTGCTTCAAATTTTCCACTTCCAATCCTTTTCGTCTATCTGCCATCTTAAAGTTTCTCTCTCGCAGATCTTCCATTGCAATCAGATTAGCTCTAGCGGCATATATTTTTGGCACTCCACTGAACACCTTTCTATCCTTCGTCTGCAGTCTATTGAGTGCGGGCCACACGTGCTTGTAAAACGTGACTTCATTTCTGAATAACAATTCGCTCTTGAATGCCTCACGACGTTTCTTGGACTCGGGTAAAATCTTATATATGATAGCGCATTCATAATTGGTCCATCCAATAAGCAACGCGTCTTTCTTTAAGAGTTTGCGCCCTTTTGCCCTAACTCGATACAACATCGAAGTGTAATTGTCACCTCTTCCCGATCCTGGCTCCTCTTCCAAACTATCAATCTCAACATCAGACTCGTCTTCGGCAATTAATTTACGTACGTCATCAAGCGTGAGTCTGTTGCCGCTGCTATTCATAATTCTTGCGCACAACGAAAGAAGTTTTCGCTGAAAACTCTGATCTCTCTATGACAATGATCCTGATGATATCTTCACAATATTTTCGATTAGAACCGATTTTAACATTCTACACTTTACGATAGACCAGAGAGTTGTGCTGTCTGACGCAGGAAATGGGTATTTGAACAGCCAGAACATTGGAGGGCTCCTCTACCGCCTCCCACTGTTATCAACTTAATTAATTAATGATTTGTGCCCCTAACTCCAAGAGACAAGGACATTGATACATGTCAATCATATGCACCCGTATCGTTTAGATTCCCTGCTTGATACTTCAAAGTGCGGCACGGGTTCGCGCAATACAGAATAATGATAATGTCGAAGAGGGAGAGATTCTTCTGTCTCTCTCTCTCTCTCTCTTGATTAATAAATTTTTTTTCGAGCGATTTACTTATCGGGATTTTGTGTACAAAAAAATAATAAATATTTTTATATAGTGTTTCTGTGTTCGCATTGAGTGACAATGTATCAACTAAGAACAATAAGTGAAAAGTGATGTATTGTTTACATAGATATATGTATATATAATATTATACGTATATGTATAAATATATGTATACATGTATATTTCTACTCTATTATTACAGTTTTTAAGAAAGTAACAATATCCGGGACCAAATATATACAATTTCGATAAAAAACTAATTTTCATCAAAGGCCTGCAATTTGAAAACATCACCTACTAAGCTAGTTAATATATTTTCCTGAGACGAGGTGAGCGGTACAGTTTTATGCAGCTTCTTAGCCATTTCCCCAGCTCCTTCTAAACTGCAAGACGTCACGTATTCCAAAAGAGTCTAAAAATAGATACAGCGATGGTAAAAAATTAATATGTATATAAAGAAAAACAAATTAATTTATATATATATATATATATATATATATATATATATTTATATACACATCTAAAGCACATGAAAAATATACACTTACAAAAATCGCCGGCACATGCGCTTGCGCCAAACACAGTTCAAATATTTCGTTTATATGTTCTTTTGTGATGACACCGACTATTAAATGTGGCGAACTATTTAATGTCGATATAACTTCTACTGCCTTGTCAAAGTAATCCCCACGTAGAAGCAGTATTATGATATTACCTGCCACTGTATTGGATATATGTTCTAGTTTTCCAGAAGTTTGATCCTGAAAAAAAAGGTTTAGAAATTTCAAAAAAATAGTTTTATATCTCAAAGATTAATATCGTTAAGAAAACCAATTACTTGTACGTGATCCCAGATAATAACTGCGTACTCCGCAAACTGTGCGTTCAATGGAGAATTAGGCTCAGGTTTACAATGCACTTTCATCAAGTACACTAAATTCTCCAGTAAGCCTTCCTTGTCCAGATAATCGAACATGAGTATGTGTGACCAGAGTTTTGGTACATACTGCGTGGCAGTTTGCCCGGGATGTAATTGAAGAGCTTCCAATATAGTCTTTATCACATATGGTTCCGGTACGGTTACGTGCGGTACGAGTTTGCTGTAGAGTTTAAAAAATGTTTCGAAATCCTCTGTTGCCAAAATTAATTCTAAATACGATCGATAATAAACATTTTCCTGAAATAAAAAAATAGTAATTATACGTGTAATTTAAATTTAATTTGGAGAAAACATTTTAAAGAAAACAAGTGTTTTCCTATATTTTAATACGACATCAACAATTTCTACGTCACATTGTTCAGAGTAATATTTAATTGGGATAATATAAAAAATCTTAAAAAGTTAAAAAATACTAACTTTCATACTATCGCCAATGAATTTATAGTTTTCACCGATGAGAAGAAGCTCGTTCAACATTTCACCCGCTTCACGTTTGCAGTATTTCTTTGATGCCATATCCATCGCAGTAACAAAGAAATTGAAGTCTCTCTGATCTTGGATGATAAGAGTTTCCTCTTTCAAAAATTGTAAGATTTTGATAAAAGTCTTGTACGCCGCGTCACCTGTCGCAACAAATCAGCTCATGAGATCGATATGCAAAATCTTTGCAAAACAAGAGAGACAATATACTATATAAATTACCGAATTTTTGTAAAACTCGCAGTACATAATAATATGTAGTTAACGTTGGTTTCAGGTTAAATTTCGCGATATCAGCGAATACGTTGCACGTTAAGTCGAGAGCTGCGCGTTTATTTTTCAGAATAGACGCCGTGTTAAGGACAGCGTTGAAAGTATGTATATTTGGTATGATTCCGTTCCTAGCCATTGCTGTGTATATATTCTTTATCAACGTCTTTGATTGGTCATCTGCCTCTTTCAACTGTGATGTCATTGACATTACAGCATTATAGGCCTCGACAGATAAAGGTATGTTATTTTCTTGACATTCTGTATACAAGTACCAAGCTTTCTCCACCTGGAATAAAAACATATTAAATCTTTTTCTGTCCATTGCGTAAATTATATGTAAGTTTTAACTAAATTGTGCTTAAAAGACATCGAATAAAAATATTAGATATTGTACATTGTGATACTTGGTCAAACCACGTATCATAATATCATACGCAGCAGCTGCTACTGCAGATTCTTGTTTTTTCAAGAACTCGAACAACGTATCGATGTGTGGGCGGTTTCTGCAAATTGAAAAATACACGTTAGTTAGAGTCAAATACAACAAAAACATTTATTAAACACAGAGAGAGATAGCGTATTTACAATAGACTTACATCCATACGGTTTTGTTACGTGTTTGATCTATCTGAAACCAACGAGACTCCAATAACTCGGTGCTGATAGGTTCAGTATTATTATAAAAGCACAGCAATTCCAAAAGAGCCTGCTTTGCTGATACTGACACTTCACCTTTTAACAAATCATATATCAGAACAGCATTGGGAACATGACCATTTGATATTTCATACAATAATGTTTCCTCTGTTACTTTATTCTCTTCTGTGTAAATGGAAGGTGGCTCAAATGCCTGCAAATATGTGATTTTACACTACAGTACAACTTGGTATACTTATTGATAATTGAAAAAAATATAAAATATATTATATTCTATATCACCTTAATTGAAGGCTCTGCTACTTTATGTTGAAACAAATCACTATGTTCCTGACGAATCCACATTGCTGCTTTCTTTCCTGATTCCTTTGCTAAAGCAAACACACGAATTTGCCCTCTTGACCGAGGTGTCAAGTAAGGATCATCATGATATTTATAATGGGGTGCTGTATAGTCTCTAGATATCGTACTTTCAAGAGCCTATGCATTTATCAACTTACATTTTATAATTCATAAAAATTACTCTTTTTATATAGAATATTAAAAAAAAACAAACAAAAGTCTACCTTTAAAATATCCGTCGGACCACGTTCTATTCTATTTGGAATATGAACATCTGAAGATATGGACGACGTTGCAGTTGACTGCAACCGTATTATAAAATCTTGACATAATTTTCTGTTAACGTTTAAAACATAGATATCAGCGATTTATAGGTTTTATATATAAGAATATTAGAACAGGTTTTTAAAATTAACAAAGTTGCTAAGTTTATTTTGCAAACATTCTGAAATCATTTCGTAAATAACAAATAAATCGTGTAAATTTCATTATAACATCGAATACAACAGCCAAGTAAAAATTATGATTCGTTGATTTTCTTCAATTAATTTATATGTACGAATTGTTACATACCCACGTGAAAATCTCGCCAAAGAGTTCATTATGTAAATCTTTAAGAAAAATGATCTCTATCTTAATTTTTTTCCTCTTTTTAACCTCCTTAAAGCGCCGAGTTTAAAGGAGGCGTTTGTAGATTAGGCTAGGCTAGGGTTAGACTACGTAGACTGGATCAGGTTAGAATTGAACGCGCGGCATCTCAAGAATCACACACATACACACGCACACGTGTCACGTACCGTGCGTGTGCGCGATGTGCCGTTGTGTCCGTACAAGATGGACTCATAAGTAACGATTCAACGAGTATGTGAAATGAAGTGTTGGGTGCGATAAAATTCGTGGTGGCGAACGCGGGAAACCGATACGTCATATGACTCGTTGTTAGATTCCACAGTGCAAGAAAGCGAATAAGGATTGTGATAGTTGAGAAAAAAAAAGAAAGAGCATGCCGCAGTTTCATAAAGTCGAAATCAACAGGACGGAATGGGAGGTACCGGAGCGATATCAGTTACTGACTCCTGTGGGCTCGGGTGCTTACGGTCAGGTCTGGTGAGTGACAAATATGACTATGATAATAACATATAATTAACATATTAGCGATGTCACTTATCGTGGAAAGACAAACGATCTCGGTAATTTTGTTTGTATAAGAACTGTTGACCGATTCGCACTATCTAGGTATAACATGTGACTGTTGGAAGATTAGAATTAACGAAAAAGCGGTAAAACAAAACGCTTTTCTTGTTTTTCGAGCAATTGTTAAAACGTCTTTTTGCATTTCCTTATTATTCGATTTGTCGCCTAACAAGTGACAGTGCAGTCGATGAACAATTTTACACAAATTGATAAAACAAGATAATTGAGATGGTATTTTTCATGAACTGCTCGCAACCTTGACATTTACGGTATTTCTAGCGCGAAAATTGTTGTCGCGCGATTATTCTCCGTCGTAGAAAAAAATCTTTGACTATAATTAATGCAAGAGGACACATGAATTCCGAGGGCTTGCGCATGCGTCAAACATGAGAAATTTGCATTTCCGCGAAAATAGAATGCATAACTATATTGTCGCAAAGTGAATAAATATAATACGTAGTCTTTTCCTACTGTATATAAATCAAATGAGATTTATCTGAAATATAATTAATAATTAACAACGCATAGAAAAAGATTTTAAAGTTTGTAATACTTATAAGTGGCAAATTGTAATATAGAAAAATACACACAATTTAAATATCTTATTATCAAGAGAGATTATGTATCTTGCATTTAAGTTCGGCTCTTGACACGACCAGTGGGCAAAAAGTAGCTATTAAAAAGCTAGCTAGACCATTTCAATCAGCTGTGCATGCAAAACGCACTTATAGAGAGTTGCGTATGTTAAAACATATGAATCATGAAAACGTGAGTAAATGCGATTATATTTTAATTATTTTATACACATTTCTAACCAATTTTAAAAATATATATTAATTTCTTACATACAGGTAATAGGATTATTAGATGTATTCCATCCATCTTCATCATTGGAAGATTTTCAACAAGTGTAAGTATCCCATGCTTGGCACATATGTGAGAGATCAAAGTTTTATTTTGTTACTATGTATACATGATGGTACTAAAAAATATATAGCACTTACTAAGAGATATGATAGTTACTTAAAAGTATAATCTGTGTTTAAAATATACACATATATGTTTTAAACACAGATATCTAGTCACACATCTAATGGGAGCTGATTTAAACAATATTGTGAGAACTCAAAAACTATCAGATGATCATGTGCAATTTCTTGTGTATCAAATTCTTCGTGGCTTGAAGTATATCCATTCTGCTGGAATAATACATAGGGTATGTAAAAATACTTGTATATTTATAAGAAAAAGATGCAAAGGTCAGTTTCCCACATTTAATTAATTAATTAATAGGATTTAAAGCCATCCAACATAGCTGTTAATGAAGATTGTGAATTGAAGATACTGGACTTTGGTTTGGCCAGGCCTACAGAAAATGAAATGACTGGATATGTTGCCACAAGATGGTACAGGGCACCCGAAATCATGCTTAATTGGATGCATTACAACCAAACAGGTTAAGAATTGTATTTTAAAACAATTGGTAGGAGAATATATAATCTTATCTGAGTTCTACTTTTTAGATAAAAAATTCTTTAATGCATAATGGTGCAATATAATTGTGTATTTTTAGTTGACATTTGGTCAGTAGGATGCATTATGGCAGAGTTGTTAACTGGAAGAACACTATTCCCTGGAACAGATCGTATCCTTTACATCAGTAGACAAATATTTGTTGCATCACTACTAATTCCCAAAATTGCTTTGCTTATTTTTTAATATTTCTCTCTTATTAATTGTACAATATATGTATGTATTTTGTTTTTGTAGCAAGAAAACCATTAATATTAGATCCTTGAATATTTCCGTTTGTTTCAATTATTTAAGTATAATGTCTTTTTAATGAATATGCTTTTTGCTAAGGATCTGCAACTAATATATACGTTGCGCTCTATTGTTAAAACTAATTATGCGGCATATTTTTTCTCAACACGTTTTATAGAGAGCCAGCTGCTTAAACTACTTTATTACATAACTTAAAAGTTGTCTGCAAATTGGACACGAGAAAATATAACGGAGACTCACTGTGTATTGTAAAAAATGACACATTTAGAATGTACAGCATATTGCTTTTAGAAGTAGTAAAGAAAAAAATAATAAAAAGGGAATATTTAGCATTCTTGAAGAGAACTATAGTGGAGCCTTAGCAAGAGCAAACACAGATATTCATCAACTAAACTTGATTATGGAAATTTTGGGTACTCCACGAGACGAGTTCATGAAAAAAATATCCTCGGAATCGGTAAGTTAGCCTGCTCGCTTGCATCATCAATTAATGCATGATGTGCATGAAATTTTGTCATATAGAATTTTATGCTTAATACTTTTCTTCCTTTCATTGAAGCAGAAATATACATATAACATTTAAATATTATTACATCTTGGCAAAATCGAAATTAAAGTTTAAGTGTGATATTAACAGAAAATCGCAGCAACAAATCTGTATTTTTTTTATAATAAATTTTAAGAGATTATATTTTTACGCGTAATAATACAGATTAAAAATAATACACGTAATAATTATACTACGTTACTTAGAGTGTTCTATGTTCGCAGGAAGTTATACGGATATAGAATACTCTAGCTCTCAGGTAACAATATATCTAAAAACACTAAACTGAAAAACGTTGATTAAAAAAAAACACCCAAATAAAATTTAGATTTAGACTTTTTAATAACACTGTTTGATTTTGAATTATTTTTGCACATATATCTGGGTTTTTTAGATTAGTTCACTATTTTGTGAGAAATGTAGCTTGTTGTAAATGCAATGATAATATATGGGAATGGTCTAATTTACTTAATATTAAAGATAATTCCTACTATTGTGTTATATTATCATACGCAAGTAGTTGTCACATATAATTAATATTGCTTTTTAAATATACCTTAACCATAGACAGACATTGATCACCTAACACGAGTGTTAGTACTCTGTGGTACTCCCACAGAAGAAACATTAAGCAAAATTACTAGCCAAGAGGTAAAGTTGTTATTTTTTTATGTAAATTTTTATACAAAAGTTGGAGAATATATTAAATTATTAAGAAAATATCTATGCAATTACGTAAAAATTATTGTATGTGTGTGTGTGTGTGCGCACGCGCACGGTGTAGAAACTTTTTCTAGAAGATTGTAATTTTACACGCGTATAATTTAATTAACTGAAGATAAATACTTCATGCTTGTGTGTGTAATGCAATAAAATTTAATTGTAGAATTTTTTTTTGTTATTAAGTAATTATGATAATGTTCTTATGTTTACATTTTTATAAAGATATAACTATAAAAAGATAACAAAGCGTACACAAACTGCAACATGTAGAATAAATTCCATAGAAAAGTTTACAGAAATTTTACTTTATCTAAAATAATGAAAATATTATACATATATATAATTTATTTATTTAAATTTTATAAAGTGTAACAATATTTCAGTACAATTGGCTCTTGTTATTACAGGCTAGAAATTATATCCAAAGTTTACCACCATTAAAAAAGAAGAATTTCAAAGATGTGTTTCGTGGTGCTAATCCTCTAGGTAAATGAATAATGCTTTCTTGAACATCATGTATATGTATAAAAAAAGCAATAACTAAAATTATTTTTACTTATTTAGCTATTGATTTATTGGAATTGATGTTGGAGTTGGACGCAGAGAAAAGAATTACAGCGGAACAAGCTTTAGCGCATCCGTATCTATCGCAATATGCGGATCCGACTGACGAACCTGTTTCTTTACCTTATGATCAGAGTTTCGAGGATATGGACTTGCCAGTAGAGAAGTGGAAGGGTAACGTTTTGTTTTGTAAAACAATGAAAAAAGTTTTTTTTTTTTCATATTTTGAATAATGGATATTTTTTCTCGCAGAACTTGTGTATCATGAAGTTGTAAACTTCGTTCCACAGCAACTACCTACCTTGTCTTCGACAATTGAAACAACTTCAGATATGTAAAGATATAATTATTTTTAAGCTGAGAGTAATGTAGATTTTAAACACACAATAAGATAAATCTAATCATAATTGATAACAGGTACCCATGAATAATGAACATTTATATATGGTTATCACATGTATACATATATACACATATATAATTCACTGTATATAATTTATAGTTATAATATAAATATATTTATAACATAAATATATTTTTGATCGTTCAAGCTTAAAAAAAAAAATTAAAACACATTTTTTTCTTGAGAAAAAAGAGGAAAAGAACAAGAAGTAGTTCTAATGTTATACCGGATTATTGATTAAATGCCAGTTTATTAATATTTACTCATACGTAATAAGTACCTTATATAGAAATGTTTTAGACTTTTTGTTAAGTACCAGCTCTAGTCTACAAAGAGGAATTGCCATGCAATTAAATCATCATGAAAGATAAGTGAAAATATATCATACAGGAATTATAACAAACTCTTACTCTACACACACATACACACGCCGCATGCACGCACATAGAAAGAGAGAGAGTGTGTCAATTTATAATGAATAACAGATTAAATTTAGCTTCTTAAACTCCCGTAACAGAGTTTAATAACTATATACTTATTATTAATATGATACTTATTATTTTTTAAATAATGCTACTACTTATAAAATAGAAAAGTAGCAAGTATTCCTAACTAGATCGCTTAATAAAGTGACCAATAATTAAAAATCTAAAATTAAAGAGTAATAATAATTAATAAAAAACAAATTGTAAAAACATTACAATAAACGACATGAATTGCATGCATACGTGACGTTTTACTGCATATTGCCAATTAAACATGGAAGAATTATACACAGATTTGTACACAAAAACCATATATATAAAATATTTATATTTATACTATCAAAGTGTAAACAAAATTATGTAAAAGAAGAAATATATATTTATATACTTGAAATGGAAATAAATCAATTTATATAATACCTTTTCCTTAAACTTTAGTCATTTATTTTTAACAACATGATAGATACAACGTGTCATTTATCTTTTTTTTCATGATGTCTAAATTTTTGTGCAGTTTTAATCTAACAATATAACGAATAAGTCAATTATTATAGTTCTGATATATTCTTACTTAAATACAATTTTTTTTCCAAAAAAAATATTAGTTAATTGCAAATCTAAAATAAAGAATATATTTACGATGCATTTTTTGATATAGACACACGTTTATACATACGTATGTACTGATCATAAAGGTTAAATAACCCTGGTTGGTTTATATCGCAAGAACATACATTCTTTTTAATATGTCAAACAAGTGGACCGAAGATGATACTGAGAAATTAATAATGCTTTATGGACAATATCAATGTTTGTGGAATCCACTCGATCCTGAGTTTAGTAACAAATTGTCACGTAGCAAAGCTTATCGGGCAATAAAGGACTCTATCGATATCCCTGGATTAACAATATGCGATTGCATAAAGAGAATTGCGAACTTAAAGAAAGAATACTGTTACGAGCTATCAAAAATTGCCGCAGCCATATCTTACGAAAAGTTGTACACACCAAGAGTAAAATGGTTCAAAAGTGTACACGCCATATTTTTCTTTCGAAACATGCCATCATTTTACCACAATAATTTCAAAAAGGTATAATATAATGCCTACGTTTAAGATTAGCAGTAACATTTAGCAGTGTTTGAAAAATTATTTGCTAGAGTTTTCAATTTAGTAAACTATCTTACGCACACGTATGATATGATAGTAAAATTATAAAACTGCAAATAACATTTATTGTGTCTTTTGTGACGTATAAATATATTTATAGCAAGACGCAAACAAACAGAAAAGATTTATTAACGATAACGCTACTCGAGACAATGCTTTGCCCGTAGCTTTTGAGAAAGCAGAAGATAAAAATATTAGCTCGAGTGAAACGTTTAAACTTCAAGACGAGTTTACTTTAAAACTGAGGTCATTTGCTATACTTATTGTGTATTACTAGCTTTTGTGACTCTAAAGTAATACGAAATAAAATTACAAGAATAGTTTTCAAGTGCAGAAAAAGTCCGATTCATTCTGCTTTGAAGCCGCAAGATCCCCCGAGTCTTTCCAAAACAATACAAACGGTTGATATTGGAGTAAGGGCTAGTATCGATACTGCAGAGCGTGAAACGCAGACGGAAGTATTTTACGTTAGAACAACAACATATTGTTAAAGATATATAGCAATTTTTTTGTTCAAATGTAAATAGTGATTGTATTATATAGGAGCAAAGCTACGAATTACGCGACAACAAAGAAAAGAAGGTTTACAACATTAAATAACAAGTTTCATTCAAGTTAACGATTCTCTAAGAGAAAAAATATAAGATGTTTTCTAACAGGATCGTTCCACGTTGGGTGATACCTCTGTAAAAACGCACGATAGAACAAAATTTGATGATACTTTTGATATATTTGGCAAAAGCGTGGCATTCCAGTTGCGAACTATCGATATACGTAAGTACGCATATAATCAGAAGTATAAGAATTATTGAGTAAAATCGCGTAACTTATTTGCTCTTAGAAACTGCTGTGGAACTAGAAAAAGAGATACAAAATTTACTGACAAAGGCGCAATTAAAATCTTTAGAATCTAAGCTAATGAGCCAGATTAGCATTTCAGTTTGCTGTTGTGAGTGCAAAGACTGTAAAATAATGTGTAAAAATGAAACTTGTAGCTGTGGTTTGCCATTTAAGGACTGTTTATTATTGTCAAAAATAAAAGACAAGAATCATCAAGTTTGTTACAAGTAACAGGTGAGAAATAATACCTAAAGTAGCTGTGAAAAGTTAAACTTTTTTTGTCAAGGTAGCGAAATAAACACGAGTGTTTTTACTTCAAATCCGATTTTATTACATGAAAATGTAGAATACGCGATATTTCTCATTGCAAAAATTTATGTATACTTATTATCAAGAATTAAAGCAGCTCAGGATATATAGCATCACAGAAAGTGAAAGAGAATATTTGGATTTAACAAAACAGTATAAAAGACATTTGTTTTCTCGTACTATTTGGTTTTACATACATATTGCATACTTTTAAACTTCTTATATACTGCAATTCATATGAACGTGTACAAATCAGTGTACATAGTCATGTAAGATTATTAAATTGTTTTTCCTGAGAATACGCATTTTTATATATGTATATATATAATTTTTCTTCTTCTTTGAATAAATAATACACGAATAGAAATGAGTTTAAATAATTTAAAATGATTGAATTTACTAAAACATTTTACTATGCATTTATATATATAAGAAACATGTATATATGTTGTTGTACTTCTACAAACAAAACTTAATGACAAATTTAAAAAAACCAACAGTTAACTGATAACACAAAGAAATATCTACGTTATTATATTGACAAGGGAACACACTTTTGATGTTTGCTGATTGAATCAGTGCATTTTATCGTTTTTGTCGATAATATAATCCGGATTAAAAATAAACAATCTTGCACAAAAAGTAACGTATTTACAATTTAAAGCAAAACCATATTTGCAAAATTTTTAAAATAGAGAATGCAAATGTGGAAGAGAAACGATGGAGAAAGAAATTAACATCCATAAGTAACGTTGGAATAATACTGTCAATATTTTGAAGACACACTCTTTGGGAACCGAACCTTCCGTTAATTAATACATATGTATATGAATATTTTGTATATATAAAATTATTGTACTTCCAATATTCGATTCGTCAGGAATCCTTTCCTGCCATCTGACTAGCTTCAAATAGTTTTTATTTCGCTTCTTGATTACTCGATGCTAGCTCAATGCTATGCTGTGTGATAAAATGATGATACGTTTTCTGAAAAGAAACGCAGATAAGATTTGATTTATAGATGTGTTTTGTAATGTATATTCAAACATATATTGCGGTTTTACTGTAAAAATTTAATTTGTTTTCTTTGCATCTGCTTTGTCGTCTTTAGCTTGTCCACGGCCTAACAGTTTGGCAAGCGAATCCCAAATCCCGCCCAAAAACAAAGCACAGAAAAGATTTTCAAATGGCACAAATGGATCATGAATGCCAAGCAAAATTGATGATAACTATAAAAAGACATTATATTGTTAATATATTATTTCATCTTATAAATCACTGAGTTAAACGTACAAATAAAAAATAAAAAAAAGAAAAAAAAACTAAATCTATAAAATTCTACCTTAAAGTAAACGAAGAAGATGACAATGCCGAAATACACAAGAGCATGAGGTGCCGATATAAGATCAGTCTTCTTATCTAGCACAAAAATGATCGATGCAACCATGGATGCTTTGGTGGGACTGTAAAATAATGTATCATTTTTAATATCTCCTTGTTTGTTAAAAACTCATAACTCTACATGTGCAATATATAATTTTAATGTTTAACTTTTTATATACAAAAAAGTATACAAATTTCACGTACAAACTGGGTTGCATAAATTCCATTGCGGTTGGTGTCCATACGCCACGTATAAGGCGTTCAAATAATTTTATAAATCCAGCTCCATTACCTATATAATTTATTCATATTAAGTTTCAATCAGTTTTATATGCTGATCTAGATTAGATTTTTGCATATATAGTGTAGAATGAGTTTCTAATAATCAACCTTTTAATGTTCCGATCAATATCATGATAAGATATGCATTTGGATAAAGTTTCCCTGCATGAGTTACTCCATCGTATACCTTTTTACACCTATAAAAAATAGTATGTACACAACTTGTATATAAAGAATATAGAGAAAATATATACTTACCTATAAACTTCCTTCATTGCTGAACATATTATTTTTACAGGTAAAAATTTGGCTATTTTATATCCAATGTCAAATGGCGTGTAAAATATGACATACCTGAGAAAGATTCGTGACAACTTTGTTTCTTTCAATACGCACATACATTTTATAAATTAGGAAATATAATATAATTTGTATTTATTACCAAACCACAGTTGCTACTATCACTTGTGGTGTGTTTTTTAAAGGTGCTAGAATTGGTTCTCCCAATAATCCATTACACAACATACCACTCGCAAAAACAACTAGCATTGTAGACAGCCAACATGATAAAGGATGCTTGCGTGAAAATGCTTGTGCACCTGAATAAATCAAAACTTTTCTTATTTATATTTTGCTATTTTATTTTTAATGTATATTTTAAACAAAGCAAAAACTATTTTATTTGTTTCAAAAATATATTACAATAATCGGTTGATCTTACAAGCCTGGATTCAAGATGGTGATGGTCTTAATAAATTGTGTATACGTCAAATTTTCTATTGTTTGCGTCGCAAATATTGACAGATAAAGTTCTTAAATTACTATTTAGTGACTATGTGTTGAGGACAAATTGTAACTTTGGCTAGACGATTGACAAATTGCATCATAATTGACACTTCATGGTGCCATGGTTTCATGTCACTGAATTCCCTTGTACTAGTTCGATTCATAATCACAGCTTTTGAATTTAAATATTTTGATTGGCTGAGGATGATAATCTGAATAAAAAGAAATCGAAATGTTCCAACAATAGAAAATTTGACATATACACAATTTATTAACCATCACCACATCCTGGATCCAGGCTTATAAGATCAACCATTCATTGAAATGTTTTTGGAAGTCTACTCCTTAATTTTTCTATTATATTACAGCTAGATAAAAGATTATGTGCAGAAAGTTAGTTTTTTACTTATATGGTTTGAATATATCGCTATCATGATAAACTGTAACAAAACACACTGTTTAAAATAGGTCAGACAGAGAATCCTTATAAGTAAGACACATTCTATATATAACATAGTGTTATAACTTTCTATCAATAAAAATAACTGGATTGAATCAAATTTGGGTTATGAATATTTTATTTATTTAGAGACCTAAAGGAAGTAAGTATATATTTTAAAGAAACTGGTTTTGAAAGAGTCTTTATTTTGGACAGTTCTAATCATATATGTGTGCCTGTGTGTAGTTGGCAAGGTGTATACTGAAATAGATTATCTGGGTCTTATGTTATTGCCTTGAGATAGAATTATGATAATTGTGCCAAGAAGAGCAAGTATAAAATTGACGATGATTAATTTTTATTATGACAACATAATCATCTTGAAAAAAATATTTTTTATATATTCTTAAGTCATATATAAATATACATAAATTATATATAAATAAAAGATTTTCAAGTACAAGATATGCCAACTTGTGACTATAATTAAATATATTGTATATAATACATAACATTGTGAATAATATATAATACAAGTTTTATATTTTTCGGATGTAAACACTAAAAACTAATTTCGGATTAATTTTTATTAACAATTTGTGTAATTTACTCTTTGATAATATTGTGCATCTTACACATTCGTGTTTTTATAAGTATTAGATTGAGTATTTGGTAAAATGATAGCAACTAGAAATATCTATGTGCCAGTGATCGTTCCAAGAGTTTTCTAAAATGAAGAAAAAGGAAAAAGAGAGGAGTAAAAGAAGAGGGGAATAAGAGAGAGAGAGAGAGAGAGAGAGAGAAAGAGAGAAGAGAAGCAGTGACAGTTGCCGATCAGCACAAATATGTTCATTTTTATATCGAATTATTTACTATATACCTATATATGTATATATCTTCCTTGTTTTATAATATAATTCTCTAAAGTTTGAGCCACAAATGCACTAAACCAATTCTCTAAAATCCAATTTAGAGAGATTCTTTCTACAATCAAAGACTCGAAAGTTAGAGCAGCAACTTTATCATAATAATTAAATTATAGATAAACATATGTCTGTTTATTCGTATGACTTCAGTTAGCGATTTCAAAGGATAAATGTTTTAAGTTTGTTTGTTTGAAAAATTGTGCAAATCATATTCACATTACTTCGATAAAAAGCACAAGTTTCATGCTGATTAATTAGACTGTATCCGAGCGCGGGAAAAATTCAACAAGAAGTCGACGAGAAGGAAGAGCACCGTGTGAACATAAAACACACATCCGTAAATATAAAACATCACGATGTGATGTTCGCGGACAATCAGGGGACAGAGCGAGGTTGTTCCTAAGAGAGTACACAGCGAAAGATTGTTGCAAAAAGATGGATAGAAAGAGACAGCTGGATCCCAGAAAATTACAGCGCCGTGAGCATTGTAAATTTAGAAACGGCCGTACAGAGCCAAGCTTACCCGGTCCCAGATCCTCCCTGACGTGCAGCGCGCACAGCACGCAATACGCTATATCGAAATACGGGAACATTTTCAGTTTGATGATCTGATTGGCCATGTCCAGAAACGCTTCGGGATCCATTGCGAACACGATATGGTGGTCTCCTGACCGCCGGTGAGACAAACAACAAAAACCTCACACGTTTTATCTTCCTTTTCTCGTTCCCCTTCTGTCTCAGTGCACCTACTGCTTCTCGATTTAAACCGCTCGTTGTCGAGCGTGTCGCGAGCAACGCTGACTATTCGCTGTCTGCTACCAACCGGTCGTCCGTCGTCTGCTAGGCTAACCCAACCTCGCTATCAGAGGCAAATAGAAAAAAAAAATAGTGCTTTCTATTTCATCGGTAAAGTATTGGTGTGCGTGCGAGTCCCGAATGGTGCCTGCAGATGGCCGCAAGCTACATACGATAATGCCATTATTCGATAAATTATCACGTACATTTTATTTTAACAGATTTCCTGTATTGCCAACAAAATATTTTGATAACAATTAACTAACAACTGACATATATATATATATATATAATATAATAATTATAATAATAATATATAGTAATAATATTTATTTATTATTACTATTACACTTGCATCTTAGCCACTAAAATACTTTCAAACGCGAAAATCGATTTTAGACGGGAAATATCGAATAGAACTCGGTTACGTTTGGATATAGCGTACGCACCGACTAGTCACTCATGGACATGGCTACGTAGTTGCCAATGTGCACCACCTGTGGATATAGCGCTGACTTACAGGGCAAAAAACTTTTATTCTTAGAATGCGTTCGGGGAGCGCGCTATCAGCGCTGTTGCATCATTCTATCTTTATTGCTCATTAGATGTAAAACAAAGATAGAATGACGCAATAGCGCTGATAGCGTGCTCCTCGAACGCAGCTTTAATGTAACGAGAAATGAAGATAGAATGATATTTCGAAACATTTGCAGTGAGACTTTGAACGCACCCCACAACGTTGTACCAAAGAGGAGACTAAGAGCGGCCAGGGCCTTAATTCTTAAAAAACTTACGTATACGAAACTCTACTGTTAATGTCACATGTACTATAGACTTTCGTATGCGCAAATTGTTCAAGAATCGAGGTCCAGAGCTATATGAAAAACTAATAGTTTTCCGCTCTGTAAGTCAGCGCTATATCCATAAGTGGTGCACATTGGCACCACTACCCATGTTCACAAGCGGTTTGTCGGTGTGTACGCTATGTGCACGCCTATGGTTTTATCTTTAACGCTTAATAACTCACTTTGTGAGGTAGACCGACACAGTCTCTAATAATACAAAGAACAAATAAAGTTTGTCGGAGCAGGTACACATAGGATTTTAATCAAATAGTCATACACACACATTTAAATAAAACTCTTTATTAAAATATTTATTTAAATAAATGTAATCAAGTATATCATTGCTTAGTTTTCGTGTAGAGCAGGCATCTTTGTATACCAATCACGCTCCTGACCAATGCGCTCAATTCCTGTCTGAGCTAAGGCTAGTGGTGGAAGATCGGAGTTTTTTCGGCCAATGAGATGGGTGCAATGCGCGGCGCGGATGCGCGCAGGATCGGAGCCACCGCGAGCAACGTCAGAGTGAGCGTGAACGTCCGCCGAGATACAAGCTTCTTTTGATGTTCCTCTCGTTCGGATTTTCGGCGTTTCTTTTATATTGTGTTGGCATCGCGTATATTCCGCAGGACAATCACCACGCTCGCACGCGAGTGCTTATCGATTCGCGTAATCGCCCCTCGTTCTTGTGTATTCTCACGTGCGAAAGATACACGCAGCGCGCCGCGCTGGTCAATTATCGGTGGTTTTAACATTTTCGGGACAGAGCACTGGAGCAGCTCCAAGAAAAGGGAAAAGGAAAAAAGACAGTGTATATATGCGCACATGTTTTTTACAAAGACATACGCGATCCTGATTACACTAAGGCTGCGGTCCGTTTCATGCTTAAGCGCACATTTATCTATAGTATACGTGACATATACTACAGATAAATGCGCGATTAAGCATGAAACGGACCGCAGCCTAAATATACTCAAAAAGTAGACCTGTGTCGAATAGAACACCGCGCGATACTTCCACCCAAATTCGCACAGCGCGGCCGTAATTTCGCGAAGACAGTGACATGCCTGACTATGATGATGGAATCGTGAGAACAGAATGTGTTGTTTCAAAAAAGCCGGACAATAAGACGTGATCAGTAAATTGAAAGTCGATCGCGTGCGCTCTTTTGACATTCATCGGGAAAGATATAGGTAGAGTGAGTGTGTCGTGAGATGTAAATACGCGCGCCCGCCCTCTGTCTCTCTCTATTCTCCGCGCGTTTTGCGCCAGGTTGTCGGATTACTGGCGATAAAATCGGAATTGTTCGCAGTGGTGATTTGAAGTGCTTTCAACAATTTGACTTTACTTCCCGTCACAGACGTTATTGAATATCTATCGGATAGCATTGGACATCTTTGTACTTTCTGAGATCTCGAGAGGTATGTATTATTACTAATTATGTTGTATATGATGATTATACAGGAAAAATGTGTTTTAAGAAAATTTTGATTAACTTAATTTTGACGATATAATCTTGATTCAATTTTGAAACTTGTTGCCAGTCTATATCTATATGTACATATATGTACATATATATTATTGTTGCTTTTGTCACTTTATATATAATGTTACATATTAAAACGCAGAAGATTTTCCTTTACAAGATTGTCGCGAGGCAATGGCACGAAAATTTTAATAGGAAAATTAATAGCGTTGCAGAAACTAATGTACACACATTTGCTCGATCAGCAGTTTATCACCTAATTTTAAAGAAAATAAAATTTTCTCAGGCGCACGATATACAACACTACGCACACATTATTTAAGCATCGCGATATTATTTAATAAAACATTTATTTGTTGGCACATCATTGCATATCAGTGATTGAAAGTAGTATACATTCGGATGTTATTAGAAATAACGCATAAACGTTAACGGTATTCGTCTCTTCGATTTGTTTGAACATTTATATCTCCGAAAAGAATATTTTTCTCTTAAATTTGAAGTCAATGAAAACGATACCAAATACCGTTGCAAAATTTTGTATGTGTTGTTATATAGAAGCGGATTGAACAATTGTACATATATAGTAGCATCTAGCTCGAATCTCGCGAGCAATACGAAAATGTTGACGAAATGCCGAAAGTGCAGTGAACCCATATGGCGCTGAACGGAGGTCTGCGCGCGCTTGTTTACATTTTAGAATTTATTTTGCATAAGAAATGTTTGCTTAGCTCGCTTACCATACCCGTACGCGATAAATCGTGCAAATATTTGTGAAAAATATTACGTCTGCATTGGCAACGGAATTTTTTTTGTTTTTTTTTTTTTTACATCAAAGCTCGATTTACCGAAAGCAAAAGATTTCGTAAAATCTTGCAATATATAACACTTGATGAGCATTCGGAGCATATCCGATTACGGAATGCAACCGCGTTCACGGCTGAGTCACTTAATTTGCTTACAGTCTCATAATAGAGAAATTATACAAGACACACACAAATGTCATGACAAAGACAAGGCACAAGTAATATGGAAAATATTAACGTTAAAAACTCGCATATACATTATATGAAAATGTATTTGATATCTTTCCTGAAAATAAATTCAACAATTATCTATGAGGATACATGCATATGTGTGTATTTTAAACATCATGTGGAATGATGATATTTCTTGATGCTTCCCGATTATAACATTTTTGACAAAAAAACAAAACGCGCGTAATATTTCTTATCAATGAAACATAAAACTTACAATTTTCGTATTGCATTTACTTATACAATCCGCTTTTATATTGTACACCATTGACGTAGTCAATTAAGATTGATTGAGTTCGGTTAAGTGTGGTAGAGTTAACTGAGTAACACACATACGGCCAGCAAAGCCTATTGTAGAAAGAAAGATTAGTACGTCTCTGAGAAAGAGAGTCTCAGGGAGAAACCGAACTGCGAACAGAGGCACGTGTTTCCAAATCGCGTACAGTAGTTCCGTTGTCCTCTTATCCCGATATAGATCCGCTACCATGACACATACATACAACGTGTATTTCGTCACTGTAAACAGCGCGGATCTCGTTATTGTGTCGCCTCGTGGCTGAAGAACCGAGAGAGGGCCAAGTATGTACATCGAACGAACGTGCCGAGTGTTCATTCATAGAAAGCCTTGTTTATTTTTAGATTAGCTATTTTAAAAGAATGTGAAAAGAGAAAGATAAGTTTAATTTCGAATTCTAGAATATTATCGCGCAATCTTAATATCGTAAAAATAAAAATAAAAAAGAAATTTATATCACAGAAAACTACTTGATTTTTATAATCGATATATAATATTTTCGAAATATTTGTCAGGAGAGAAAAGAATTTCACAATTGCATCGAATTTAGTTTTTAATTCTGTAACACGATAAAGATGTAAGTTGAAATTTTCTTTGTGTGCTTGTATACAGCAGATGTGTGAACATTTTATTATTAAAATAAAAGTGTTCATCATACATGTGATATGCAGTGAAGCGTGTTGGAACCGTTTGTTTGGAATAAAAACAATTTGCTTTCGTTACGTGAAAAATCAGTAAACCGTGCGTGCATTCGGAGAATATACATTGTCTCCATTTGCACGATAACGACGACGACGATGACGACGTTTCAGGAATAGTCAAACTCGGGTGAAAATAAGTTATTTGCAGCACGCATGCTACAAACACTTCAAGTATTATAGATACTGCCGAATTGAATGAAAGGTGGTAAGAGAGTGTGCGCGCAAGTACTTTGCTCTATCTCATAGATAATGTTTATCACTTTTTTTCTCTGCGTACACAGGTGAGATATATATACTGCACGTGTTATTTCCTCGATTACTGCGACGCGATTAGCAGTTGCCGCATCGCGAATTGTCACTATAATACGTGTTTGTAATCTTGCTTACGTCAATGTTCTATTTTTCTCTTTTTTCTTTATTTCACGCAAATCTCGCCGTCGCAAACGCATTTGTGATATCAGAGCGCACATGTGCTTTGAAAAGTATCGATTCTCGACAAACGCCGTTAATCGTTTTAATATATCAATGTATTTAAGATACTGTTGGATTTCAATAGAATTAAAAAAAAAAGTTTAATTCATGACACCTCTATGTAATGTACTAATTGACGTTGTTATTTATCTCAAGTATCTCGTCTAATTTTCAGTAGATGACGATGTGTGTCTTAAGGGCCGTACAATGGGAGTAGGTAGTA